TAATTTAGCTATTCATGTTTATCAAGCAATCAAAAAGTGCACTAATGTGGATATGTACGTGTGTTTCTTAGTTCTTAATAACAGCGGTACAATACTAATAGACCCTCTCTATTATGAATAAGGAAACAGCAAGAGTGGGCTACAATGGTTGAGAGTTCATGTGGGAGACGTGATCCTCTAAAGTGCTCAGATGCAACCTTTTAAGGTCCTGGCCTGTCACTGCCACTGCACACAGTCCGGATCCCCTTTATTTATCTCATTCTATCGCCCCACTTAGTCACTGACCCCTCGGGAGAGGCTTGACCCTCAGAATCCTGGCCTGTGATTGGACAGAACAGGGGGAGCAGTAGTAGAGCGAGGATCTCCCTGTTGACCCTCCACTTTCAGATGGTAGACTGATTCTTATAATATAAGCAGAATTGCGCTGAACATATCCATCCCTGATATCTTCACAACTGTTGTAGTGTAGATGGTACATGTGTCGTATTGAGTTTCCAAAGCAACAAGCTGTCGATTAACGTTTATATTCACCATCTGGTGATGTTACAAAACATAGTTGCTCCATAATGGAATTGCATCCACAACAGCCATTTTGTAAATAGAGTTATCAAAGCAGCTTAGAAAGAAACAAGACTTAAGAATTGTCTGAATGCATCACAGATTATGACTGTTTAAATAGACTCTTTACTATAAACCAGCCAAAAACTAGATGAGGAACTGATGTATGAGTGTGGTTGTATGATATAACAGTTTGATTTGATTTAGGTTTTGGGGCAATCAGGAATATTCATCTTTTCTCCTCTAGGGAGATTAGATTTATACACTCCGCACTAATCTGTCATCTCTGTTCGAGTTCAGACTGAGTTTCAATTCTCAGAAACGGATGGCCGAGGGGGGCAGGGGAGAAGTCTCAAACGGGTCAGGGGTTGTAGACTGAGAGATTAGGAGTTCACGTTCATTTCTCTTGCTTCTGTCTGAAAAAGGCCAAAGGTTTCCAGCACAGGAAAAGGAGGAGGGGGTTAGACGGGCTAAAATCTCTGACTTGTGTCTGCCAGTGCAAGCAAGGATGTAATGCGAAATCTCTCAAGCCCCAAAACAAACAGACAAACACACACTTACACCCCGCTGCAGGATCACCACTGACCATGGAGGAGGATGCTTATGTGTCAATAGTGTCAAACTATAGAGTTACTCTAAAAAGCCTTTTCATATCAATTTCATATCCGGCCTTTGCATTACATATGCGCACCACAGCATGTCCACTGCAGATGTCCACATACAACAAGAGCAACAAATACACAAGCAACAGCTGTACAATGGAGAAACCGTTTAACTAGGACCAACACAAGATAGGTATATACATAGAGTATACGTAAATACATACTGTAAACATTTAAATTGCACATAAGGCAGTTTTTATATCTAGCTTTTAATGATATAATTATGTTTCTACTTCAATTCATTGTTGAAATATAAACAATCAAATGGTGGCTGTAATATACACTATTACAGATTAGTTTTCATTACAGATTTATTAAAACAATAACAAACAAATAATAAAAACAACAGGTTTAGTGAAAAAATATAATAAATGTGATGAATATAGTGCATATATTTCACAAAATGTATATATAATTATATAAGTATATAAAAATAATGATACTTTTAAAAGAAATCAACACTTTAATTTATTTACAGCGTCCTTTACTTACTGTAGTAATAACAGTAAATGATGCATTTTTACATGAAACTAACCCTAAACCAAACTCTAACCCCCATAGTAAGTACATGTTGTTAATTAATATTACTCAATACTTAAATGTTTAATTACACTGTAACAAGGAAACCTTAAAAAAAGTGTAACTGAAATTATTTAGCTGGGATTCATCATATTGATGGAAAAAGGTGAGAAATGACTGAATAAATGACTTTTACATTGTTGCAAAAAAATAAATAATAAATTCTGTTCTTTTGAACGTTCCATTCAAAAAAACCTGGGGGGAAAAATGGATTAAAAAAATCGTTTACATTACATATTGTTTGACAATACTAGAAAAATGTCCTAATCAAACTAATGATATCATGATGCAAAATCCAGAGGTCCAGAGTAGTACAAAATTGTAAAGTTCTTTAGGAAACACTCATACATATGACAAGCATGTTTTTGTTTCCGCGCAACTATTTTACATGTCATCTACCACAGGGGCTAATAGATTAGGCAAAATAACCTGCTTTAAAAACAAAGAATGCAAAAGAGTGTTATGAGGTGCTCCAGTATGCGTCCCCCAGGTTCATTCAGCATTGCGGTGGCATCACTGCTCCCTCTTTTTCAGAAACTGGAGCAGCAGTGAGATCAAGCGGTGCCCTCCTCCCTCTGCCCACTAATCCCTGAAAGATGATCTATCTGTGTCCCGCTCTAACGCTCGCTCGCTCAGGACGGGTACGGAAGAGGCGGAGGCCCCGTCCTTATCAGCCAGACAGACACCCATCCCGCTCAGGGGGTCCAATCCTCCCCTTTCTGCCCGTTCCGTAATTAGATGAGGTGTCTAGGTCTGGCCAGGGATTTGGCCAGGGCCTGAACTAGGTCGGTGGGTGATAGTGTTGTTGTCTTGTTTCCTTTAACACCCCCCCCCCCCCCCCCCACCCCCCCACCCCCAACCCCAACCAAATCGCTCGGGCTAATATCAGTTTTATTTGTCAAACGAATATGTCTGACACACAGTGACATGGTCCAGATCATTACTTTAAGTGCTGGAGGACATATTGACACTGTTAAGAGGTCTCAATGGACTGATGTTCACTATGAACTTGACACAATAGGCCGTGCAAACATATCTGTAATTGGATTAGATTTTTTTTTTTTTTTTTTTTGCTGATTCTGAGAATAAGATGAGAACGAAAAAACCTGGCTCGTACACCTATATCAGAATTACATGAGTCGACTGATGCATGACTATATGGGAATATATAATTTGGCAGACAAGATTTTGGACAGTTGCCCATTATATGGAAATAACCAGAGAAATGCAAGCTTGCACTTCAGCCCTCGGGTTCTGACGACCGCCCTTCATTGATTACTAAATGTATATTACCATTATTGGCACTTTAGTGACAGTCTGCTTTAATTAACTGTTTTGGGCCATTTCAGCATGTATTGATGCAACGGCTTATTGATGCAGTGACGCTGACCATATGGATCGGCTGACATATTTCACTGAAGCATTAGTGGCTGTATCTGTTCAGATGATGATAGCTCATTCTAATCGTCAATTTTGTGAAAAGATGTAATGATGTCATACCAGGACAGTCACATATGCTTTCAGATCTTCTCGTTTAATGTTCAGATTCTGAAGGCAGGCTTATTAGATGTTCTGAATTCCCCATGCTCCTTCATTAACATTTTACTTTACAGAAGAAATTGATGTGCGAAGCCACTAGAAAAAGACAGTGCCCGCTGCATCATTGTCCAAGATTAAGAACAATATAGATTGCTGATAATTTATCTCTTTGTCCATGTCCATTCAGCCATCAATTGATCACAAGCATCGAATCCATGACATTTTAGTGATGATACATGTTTATCTTTATATAGTAAAAAAAGGCAGTTTGCGTAAAATACTTTATGAGTTTCATGAGTTGTCGTTCTGTAGGCTGGCATACTATATTGTAAAATGAATAGTAACAGAAAAGCAAAAATAGGCTACTACTACTACTCCCTTTATAATCACTAAAAAGCTGTCACTCATTTTAGTTTATTCCGATCTCACAAAGTTCCGTTATAATCAATGAAGCTAACTACACAATGAATCTTTCAATATGCCAGTTATGAGCATGCAGAACTCAGCACTGGACAAATACTCTGGTGTTTCCAGAGGTGAGTGGATTCTATTTCACCAATATTCTATTATTACGTAGAAAACTGATCCTAGACCAGCAGTTATGGGCAGCTTTTCCCTCTAAAAGCAATCAGAAGCAGCATCAGGCAGGGGAAGCCTAAGCCTATGCTTGCACCTGTAAAACATTTTTATTTTATATTGTTGTTGTGCTTGTGGGTTTTGTTTAATAGAGTAACAATTTATTTGTTTTAGATATTTCATTTTTAGATATTTCTATCGCCCATAAAACCTTGTCATGTGCTGCACTGTGAGGGATAGACTTTCAATGGCATCCACTGTAAAAAGTTGTATAAAGCTCCTAGATCACTTATACTTTTTCGCAGCTCATGTTTTCTGGAGTTTTTTTGTCTATTGAAATTTCTTGGAAAGACATTTTTGCAGTGTTTTTTTCCAGCAGAACAATCTAAAAACACATTAAATAACAGTACAACCCACTGAAGAGATGTATGTCCATCCCACACAGCCTTGCTTTCATTCCCGTTAGAAATCAAAGATGGCTCTGCTGTTAAATGAGGTCTATATAACACTAACACAAAAAAACTAATTATATATCTTCTTCTTCTTCTTAATAATAATAATTATTATGTAAATAATGTTAATCGTCCAAAAATAAAACGTAAAAAGGTGGAGAAAATTATTGTTACAGAATTTAAAATGAACACTTTCACTTACATATTCACATACATTTGAACCTAAAATCTTGGTGTTCATTAAAAAAAAAAAAGTGCATGGATTGTGTCAGATAGCTAAAATACACATACAAATGCCAACACTGAAGGCATGCCTGCAAAAGTGTGCTACTTCCAGTTATGAAAATCGAGAAATGCATCACACAGACTCATGAATACATGACTCTACATGTGCCAGACTGCCTTGAAGGTCTTGTCCTAATTTAAGTTTTTGCTTGTAGCATTTAACACCTCTTCAGTTAGCATCTCTTTCTCTCTCTTTCCATCCGCTGCACTGTAGATGTGCCTCACTGCATGGAAACTTTCACCCCCCCATCCTTGACACTCACACACCCACATGCACACAAACACACGCACCACGACAGAGAGCGGTGGGTGGAAGGGGAGGAGACTATGTCTGGTAAGGTTGAGCTGTTTACAGTGTGGGTTTATAAAACAGCAGACGAGGGGGAGTGTCCCTACAAAGAGGGAGCAGGGAGGAGAAACGTCAGACAAGGATAGGGAGAGTGACTGAGAGGATAGAGAGCGTCTGAGAGAGAGGGTCCGCATGCAGGACAGAGTGATAAAACAGCAGGCAGACGCTGGAGATATTTTTTTTTTTACTTCCACCACAACTGCTACAGCAGAAGAGATGCTTATGTGAGGAGAGCAAGTGATTGTGCATAGTAAGCAGAAGTGGTCTTCATTTCTATAGTAAGTACTACATTTTAATCATATTAAAAAAATTATTGTTTGTATGTGTGTGTGTGTGTATATATATATAGATATATATATATATATATTTAGTATTATTAAAAATATATATAGAAAATGAAATAGTAAATTATATATATATATATATATAGTTGGGATATATATATATATATATATACATACATAAACACACACAGACATTTAATTTACTTTACTATATATTTTATTAATACACACACATGTAGAATCGCATATGTAACTGATTCAAATGACATTTAAATATTTGTCATTATCAACAAATACTATAAAAACACTACATTTTTAAAACTGTGTTTGTAAATGAAAGTTTGTATTTAACAAATGAAGTTTATAAAAGGGTCACTGAAGACATGTCTGTATTTATTTCAGGATAAAAGAAGGAATTGATGAGTTGCTGCATCTTAGAGTGTCCTGTCATGGATGACTCTAGGGAACCTACTGAATAGATCTCAGCGCTGCATCATGGTTCAGCAAAGAACCCACAAATACTTGTCAGTCATGGACAGCAATTCTACCAGAGAGGTGTTTGTGGGACTGGCCGCAGAAGACGATGCTGAGGTGTTTGGAGAAGTACCTTCTAACAAAGATCCCAACTGGTGCAAAACTCCAACTGGGCACATCAAAAGACCAATGAACGCTTTTATGGTCTGGTCCCAGATTGAGAGACGGAAGATTATGGAACAGTGGCCTGACATGCACAATGCTGAGATTTCAAAGCGCCTCGGAAAGCGCTGGAAACTACTGCCCGATTATGAGAAGATACCCTTCATCAAAGAGGCCGAAAGATTGCGCCTAAAGCACATGGCTGACTATCCTGACTACAAGTACCGGCCCAGGAAAAAGAGCAAGTGCTCTACCCCTGTGAAACTTGGCGAGAAGTTGCCTATGAAATCCAGCAAGCCCCATTCAGGAAGATCTAGTGGGCTCTCCTGCAAAGGGCTAAAGATCAAACCTGCTTCTACCAAGCATAAAATGAACTTCAATGGCAATAAATACAAGAGCTACAGCGAGAGCATGAGTGATGACGACACGATGGATGTAAACTTAGAAAGTCCAGTGACTCTGCAAGACGATCACAACCCGTCAAGTCACTTTGTTCTTCACCAGCAGGCCACCGTTCCCTCTGAGGACCAGCAACCAGTTCCTGAGCTCAGAGTGAAAGTGCCCATCTCTCAAACCAGCAGCATCCAGAGTCTCTCCTCAGACAGTGAGTGCCAGGCTCCCCCGGATTCCACGATGAGCGAGCCACAAGGGTCGACATCTGGAAGATCCTCCACACCGACCTCAACCAGCTCCTCCTCTTTGGTGTCATCAGCCTGTTCAGATGAGGAACTGGACGAGGAACTCTTGCATATCATTTCTAATAGTATGCCTATGGACTGTTCTGCTCTGGACAAGGACTTTGAAGCATTTCATGCCAACTCAGGATCCCATTTTGACTTCCCAGATTACTGCACTCCAGAGGTGAATGAAATGATTTCTGGGGACTTGCTTGTGCCCAGTATCTCAGACCTAGTGTTCACCTACTGAAGTTGAGCCCTTTGTAATGTGGTCATGCCTGCATAGCTGCCAATTCTAAAATATTTTGTCCATATTGTACTTGGACAATTCCTTTTTCCATGTGTTTATTTTTCTCAATGAATCCCGTAAGTGCTATTGCTTTACTTTCCAAGCATGTCACATCTTGTTGGTTTAGCTAACAGACACACAGGGCTTTGCAGAGCTGTTCAAGAGAGTAAGACATTCAGATCTTGTTCAACACTTCAGCGGAAGCTTGGTGTATTTTTTAAGTTTTACCAGCTGTTTCGATAAATGTTTTAAACTGAAAGCTACTGTCTCCAAGTATCTGATGGGCAGCAGTTAGAAGCAAAAACCTCTATTGATTTAAAGGGACAATTCACCCAAAATTGTTGTCATCATTTACTCGCCTATATGACTTACTTTCATTACGAAACACAAAAGAAGATATTTTGAAGAATGTGTCAATTGTTTTTGTTCATACGTCCATAGTCAATGGGGACCAAAACAACACTGGACACCATTGACTTTCAACATTCTTCAAAATATCTTCTTTTGTGTTCCACAGAGACAAAAAGGTAAGTAAATGGTGACAAATTTCATTTTTGGCTGAACAAGCCCTTTAATAACAGCACTGAAACAGACTGCTCATAATGAAAACTCTTAATCATTATTAATTCAAAAACGATTTCCACCAGACGTTTCAATGTGCACAAATATAAAGGTCCACTAACAGTATTGGTACATTAATATTCTAAAAGACTGGGATAGAAATTATGAAAAGGAAATGATGACTGAAACCATTTATTAAAACATGCAGCACTTACAGTAAAGCATCAGTAACCTTGCGGAGGAAATCACTGCAGACACATAATTCATATCCTATCCGTTAATTAGGTAATAGCACTTTCATCACCTTGCCATTGCCACAGACGTAAAGACACACATGTGATTTAAAGGCAGCTCTGCATCGGCCCTGCGTGCAGGTGTTTGTGTGTGTGTGTGTGTGTGTGTGTGTGTGCGTCAATGTGTGCCTGAACTGTTTGGACTATGGACAAAAGGGGGATAAGGTTAGGGTTTGGGGGTTGGGATTGGTTCTTTCAGGGAACTGTGCATCTGTCCATGCAGGCAGCAGCTTTTATGCAGGGGTCGGACTCTGTGCGTACCGAGCGTCTGCCGGGGTGGGGAGGGGTATGAGGGGGGGCTCTTGCACCGGTTCACTGAAATGCATGTCATGTCTGCAGTCTGGCTGCAGCTGCCCCGATCAGGGCTAGAAATCTGTGTCTGCCAGCTGGCCCCCATTGACTCTCTCAGGGATCGTTTGTCTAGGTCCTAGTGCCTCCCGTAGGTAATTCATCTGTGATGATCTGTGTGTGCTTGTGAGCGTCTTTTTCTCTCCCGGAGAAACCATCAGAAGCCAACCGAAGTGACAGAAAGCCCCGATTTCTCAAAACAGGATCCGTCCTCTTTTCTTTCACCCAAATGCTCTTATTAATTTCAGCTCAGTTGGTGACCGGGAGACCGGCATTATTTACCTCCCACCAACAGTTGTCAGAGAAGGGACAACAAACCCTGCAGTTCGTATCTTACATAAACTGTTAATCCTCGTCGATTCCCGACGTCCTGTGAGGATGCAGCAGCATGCTGTGCAAAGCGAAGGAACACAAAAGGAAAGGGACCTGATGTGTGTTTGCTCTTGGTTTAACCTCACTGTTTAGACTGCATAATGACTACTTTTGTCACACTGACCACAGAGGCATAAACAGCCTCCGTCTTGATGTGTTTCCTTATTGTAGGAAAGAGTTGACCGAACTAGTTCTGTACAACCAGTATTTTTTCTAGACCATGATAGTTTGCAAAAATCTTAGTTTTATCAAGTGGATTTTAGATCGATGCCACATTCGGTGGTCAAACTATACATATAATTCAGGTATATGTGTCTCAACTAAAAAGGGAAATGGAGATAAACACAAGAGGGCCGATAGGAAAGATGGGCACGGCTTTGATACGATGCCTTCATTCATAAAACACAAACATGTGAGGATTTTCAACGTGTAAAAAACATTACGTCAACATATATGTATAGAGCAGAAAGATTTAGTGCTTTAAAATCGAAACGTTGGCATTTTAAATGCTCAAAATTGTAGAAACTGTAGTAATAACGCAAGCTACTAGAAACTTCAGTTTCTTTACATGTGAGGCTGGATGGAAAATATAATTTGTATTACGAAAAACCAAACTCAAGTTTGCATGTGTCATAAATAAGGATTTGTGAATAGGTAAAACAAAAGGTTTAGGCCTTCAATCATCAGGGAAATTATTTCAGGAAAGCGATACATTCACTATTTTAGCGGATTCTGCACTACTGAAATTGTGAAATGGCTTGCCACACCTGAAGTTATCACACAGGAACGAGTCTTTGCATTAAGACGTATGCCAATCAAATCGGTCTCCATAAACTCTTGAATAATATCAGGTCATACACTGAACCAATACCGTACCAAACACCAGCAGTCAATTAAACGGACTCAGGACTAAAAACATCAGCCCAATGTGGATCTGCTTTGATTCAGCCATTACTAAGATGCACTCTGTTTGGCCATTGTATGTCATTGTTGATGATCTGCAAAATAACTGTATGTAGCAAAGGTCAATCTGCAAAGTTGTACCTTTTTAAATATTAAATATTTTAAAATTCCACAATACTTCTGGGTGCATTTTTTGGCTGTAAATAAAACATTATTTAAATGTGTCCTAAAAATGGGTTCTTTACGTTTATACTTTGCCAGTATATTTGGTCATTTAGTAAATGCTTTATTTTTATTTCATAGACGGTGTCATTTATTTATTTACTAAGAGCACCAGAAAATAGGAACGACACATCACAGATGGGCTCAGGCAAATTAGTGTCAAAGTGATAAATGCAGAAAGCTGTATATAACTGAAGCAATGTAAAAATACCCATCTGGTCGGCACCTCCTACTTCTTGGCTGGGGATTAATGAACAGTATTCTGTGCGATAGAAAACCAAGGGCAATGCTAATTTCACACAGACCAGACTCAGCTTTGCTAAACCTGTCATATGCGGAGCATGCGCTTCCTCATTTCCATGTCTGTAAAAAAAAAACCTGCTGCCATAATCAGTGATTGCCACCAATGGAGTCTTATTACAAAACATGGGCCCAGTGAGTCTTCCCTTTCAGGACTGAAGACTTTTCATGGCATTAAGCTGATCGATCACAGAAGACTCCACAGACCAACACAGTGGTTTGTACTCCAACAAACGCAAACAAAACCAAGCTCATAACCAGATAACTCCGCAATACAACACTGATTTTAGGCTCAGTGCTAATTTATAATCTCAGAATGGAGCCGTTTCAGCTATTACAGACTGTACTGTTAGGTGAGAAATCTTATGTTGGATCCCCTATGAACATCTTGGAATGAGACAATGATATGAAATTCTTGTCAAAAATTAATCATCAAGAGTCATCAGCTAAAGCACTCACCAGAATAAAAAGATGGCCAAACTATGACCATGTTGCCTCGAAATACATTGTTTTACCATTTTTCATAGTTAGATGATTGTTTCCAGAGGAAATAATACTAGGTTGTTATTTTCCATTAGTTTAAAAAAAAAAAAGTATTCCTTATGCAATCAGATGATGACTGAATGGTCGTAAAACCAGCAACTTAAGTGATGTTTATTCCATTATGTTGTTTGAATGCTTGTGGTCTGAATGTTTCAACTGAAATCACTGTTATCTGGTATTACATTATACTGTTATCCAGGTCAACCAAAGTCATGCTGTACATGATTACACTGAATCAAAAGATTTTGTTGCCTTTGCATGGATGACCACAACATCTGCTTGATCTGAGCAGCAAACATTGTTTCGCTGACACAGAGACATATGCATAAAGTATGACAACGTATGGTGTTCGAGTCTAAGAGTTAATTTAACACATATGGAGAAGTGATGTTGTCATGTTTGTATTGGTGCTATCATCATACTTTTAAAGGGATAGTTCACCCCCCAAAAAACCCTTCAGACTTAAACATGGGTGTCTTTTCCTCTGTGTTCCACAGAAGTCGTTTGTCCAACATGTCTAAGCTGCTCTTTTCCATACAGTAAAAGTGAATGGTGACCATAGGGGTCAAGCAAGTTGTTAAGTAAATAACGGAATTACTCTGTTGATGCTTTTTGTTGGTTTTGGAGCTTGACAGCTCCTAGTCCCCATTTACTTTCATTGCAGAGCTGTGTCAACATTCTTCCAAACTTCTCCTTGTGTGTTTCATGGAAGAAAGAAAGTCATAAGGGTTTGGAACAACATGAGGGTGAGTAAATGATGACAGTAATTTTTGGCTGAAATGTTGCTGTAATCTAGGCTTAGAGAATGATATTTCTGCACAACTCTCTGTAGGTTTGTGCATCATAGATTGTGATTGTTAGTCATTATTTTCACTGCACTGCAATAAAAAAGGAAAAATAACTTTCAATAAACAGGAGTCTTCAAGATGTTAGCAGAACATAGTTTTGGACAATTAGCATTAGCTAATTAATTTGCATGTCTGCTTCCATAGTGTGCTGTAGTATCTCTATACCTCATTGCTACTGAGCACAAATAGAGATGAAAGCACTTTTGTGTACATAATGAAGGTAGATCGGAGCAGCACAGTTTGTTGTTTTGATGGACTCATCAGTGTAATGACACCCTCATCAATAAACTGCTTTAATCAACCTTTCTGTCTGTCTGTGTGATTTTAAAGAGCTTCCATGCATGTCAACACAATTACATGTATGCACATAAAGCTACTTTTATCAATTAAATTAGTGTGGATTAAGCATATGTGGCATAAGCAAGCTGTCCATAAGTAGATACAAGTTTTCTAACATGCATTTAACATAGACCCGTCATGTGTGTCTGTTTAACGCTGCGGGTTTCTCCCACTCTGTCTCTGACGTGAGTTTCAGAAAGGATGCAGATGTTCTTGTGGTCAAAGCGCACAGGCATGAAAGGTTGCAGCAGCAATGTAATTGACAGCACGTTACATGCAAACACACAGCCAGCTCATGTGACATATGAAAACGCTTTAGCACTAACAAACACAAGAACCATTTCTAGATGCTTTAAGCCTACACAACTGAAAATGGCCAGTAACTGTGTGAACTGAAATATCCTTATTGTTGTAATTCAATAACGCACTGTTCTCACATTTCACAATCACACAGGAACCATGTTCATTTTATCAAGTTTAATGAGGG